GTGGCTACCCGTCAGATACTTCTAAGGTGTTAAACAAACAGGTGAGTAATAAATATTGAAAAAGAAAACGTTAAAGATCCACAAATGCAGGGCCAAAGAGGGAGTCTGGAGGAGAAACTTCTAATGGCAGACCCATACAGTGAAGCCAAATCTTATGAAGACAACGAAAAACAAGACACCACGGTGCAAGATTCGCTGGGTTGACAATGCAAAGTGGACAAAGGCTATCAATTGCAACATCAAGCGGAAGTTGTAAAACAGGAACAGGAACAGGAGGCAACAATAGGTCAAGACGCAAACATTCTGAAACATGAGATCTAGAGAGAGTTGCAGTGCGGCAGCAAAAACACTGCTTGCAGGGGTGACAAAACAAACGTCCAAGACAATACTGCAGAAGCCTCAAGATTGACGAAATAGGGAAGCATGGAGGAGCAATTGCTAGCGCATGAGGGTGGGCAGATGCAAGGGGAGCAAAGCTAGCAGCTATAGAACCATTGGCTGATTGGCAGATGAGGCTACTTGGTGAAAGTTATTTGCGATAACATCAGTAGGTTTGGGTACTACAACATTTGCAGCCGGGAAGAGGAAGTGACTGTTGAAAGGAACAGGAGAACAACGAAAGTGCTTTCCCTGGTGAAGAAAGAATGACAACATAGAGTGAACCATATCAGGGCATCATCATCCAACCAACGTTGAAACATCTGAAACTGCAAATATTGAAGCCGAAACTGAAGGTCAGGAACTTGAAAAACAGCAACACCCCAGCAATTGAAGTGGAAAATGAAAGGCAAAGAAATTGACACAAACTTTGGTGAATAAAAGTCCGAACTGGTTTGCAAACAGCAACAGAGGGAAGAATAAAATATAAACCAAATTCAAGTGTAGGTCAAACAAAAGACAAAAACAAATGACTAACTACAACTAGAGACTGGGAACCAAACATCCTTGAAAAGAAAGAAAAGCAAAATAAGCTGCAAGCGCTTTGGCAAGTCGATGGGAAACAGTCAGTGAAACATCAAATCCAGTATCTCCAAAAAAGCAACCCAAATGACGAAATGAAGGCTTGACAGAGCAAAACAAAAACCACGAGCTTGGGCAAACTGGTCACAAACAGAGAGAAGAACCTGCATAGCATCCAAAGTAAGTGCAAACAAGGCCAAATCATCTGCAAATAAAAAAGAATTATATCGTGGTTTGGCAGGATGAAAGAGTGTTATAGGTGGGGCAAATGGTCAGAGGAGCCCAGGTAGAGGATCAAGAAAAGTGATATAGAGAAGTGGACTGAGAACAGAACCTTGAAACAAACCTCTAAACAAATTAAAAGCATCTGAAAACAATTTGCAACAACCACTCTGGAAGAACAAAAATCAAACAGCGACTTCAAAACAAAAAAAATGGCAACGGTACTCCCCTAGAAAGAAGCGCAGCCCAAAGAATTGCACGATTTTTGGTGTCATAAGCTGCTTGAATATCTAAAATACCAGCAACCCAAGGAACCTTGGCATCAGACGCACGGGAGATACATGCCTGAAGACCAAAAACACATTCCATTCCTGAGCGGTGTGACTGAAATCCAGCTTGGGCAGCTCAAGTAGGCGTTGTGACATGATAGCAGAAAAAAGATATGGCAACAAAGCTTGCTCAAAAACTTTTCGGGAACACACGAAAGAGTAATGGGGCGATAATTAGTAATGTCACCAAGCGTGCCACATTGCTTCCAAACTGGGTGCAAAAGCCCAAGATTCCATGAAATGGGGGTAAAAGACTACTGCGAAAAACAGACTGAGAAAGCTGCAAGAACAGTGGAGCAAGAATAACTGAAATTGGGCGATAAAGTTCTGCGGGCAGACGATCATGACCTGGGGCAGACTCCAAAGGGCAGTCCCTAATAGTTAGAACAAAAGCTTCAACATCCAATGGCAGCTGAAAGTCACACAGAACAATTGAAGGTGAAACGAGGTCAGCAGCCTGAGCATTGTAGATACTAGCAAAAATGATCAGCATATTTGGCTAAAGACTGAGGATCGAAATCTAAACAATTAGCTGAAGTACAAAAGTTAGCACAGCGCCAAGCATGAGACACATTTTTCAGAAGAGAAGTTATTCGTAAGTTGCACAGAGAAACTGCTAAGATTCTGCTTCCTCCAACATCAGAGGAGCTAACAGCAGCATTGGAACCACTTCAGGTCCCTGTGGGGACTTCTCTTTCTCGTGCAGTGGCCCAGGGAGCAATTGATTCCGCATTTCAAATTATAGTTGATTTTGTTGAGGCAGCAGCAGTTCTGACATTGGGACCACCAACACCTCGTCGTAGAGCACCAGCAACCACTCCTCTGCCCCCTGAGATTGCTTTGTTGCGTAGTAAGGCTCGTTCAGCATTCCTTGACTATTATTCTCTCTTGCACCACAATTCTTCTGACCCTCTTATTCCTTTTCTAAAAACTCGCCAACATGATAGTCCCAAAGCATTCAAATCAGCTCTGAGATCACACAGGCGTAAGACAAAAGCAAATTTTTTTGATGACCCTAGTTCTTTATCAGTGCCTTCATCCTTTAACAATCGGAGATTCCAAGAAGGTAGAGGAGGAGACACAGTGGCCTGAGGATCTGGGCCAGCTAAAGATAATGAACAGGTCACTGCAAAATGGTCTGAAGGATGGGGAGCCATAGACTGGGGTTGATCATGCACTAAATAAGAGGAAGTCACATAAGTAGAAGCAAAAAACAAATCAATAATTGAACTCCCTAAGTGGGAACGAAAAGTTGGGCGATGAGCTGAAGAAGAAGCTGGGACAACCAATGAAAGTGAGTGGGCTGTAAAAAAAGGAAGAAGTGCTCTAGCACAGGCATTAGTTGTACGATCACTGGTGCTCTGAGTTCTTAAATTGAAGTCACCCATCAAAACTACTAGTGTATCCAAATTCGAAACAAATTGAGGAAAATCAGAATGCACCCAAACAATCTTCTGCAGTCCAACCTAGGTGAAAATAATATCCACCAATCACGACCTGACGAAACCTAAACCACAAACCAAACCCAGAAGGAACTGATGCAATCAACCTAAAATGATAAGTACTGCTACGATGCGGGTTAATAAGAAGAGCAACACCAGATGCCAAAGGAGCGTCTGGTGGAGGACGAGAATCAAACAACAAATACTCTGAGGAAACACTGTCTAAAGTTAACTGATGAGTTTCTGTTAAAACTAAAAAATCAAGCTGATGAGTAACAAGCCAAGCAAGAAAATTGAAAAATCCAGAGGCAAACCTCTACAGTTGAAGTTTCCAGAACGAAAAGTCGACATTAATTGTGAGATGTAGGTTCAGAACGCGAAGAACAGGCTAAAGAAACAGTAGCTTCAAAGTCTGCAGCAGGAAGATTAGAACGAAGATAATGAAAAACTGCAGGATCATGAGTAATTCGCAAGAGGTGAGCAAATCTTTTGTGAACAGCCTTTGCTACAGCAACTTGACGTTGCTCAAGTGATTGAACAGACCTAGAACGAAGCTGCCCAGGGTCAAAAAGATCAAGGGGCACCTCATCACCTGGAAAAATGTCCTTGCGGAGCTTGTCAGCACAGTCAGAAGTACAAATAAACTCAGCAGTGTTACGCCCAATAAAACTAATATGGCGAATGTCACGCAAAAATTGAGGGTTTCCAGAAATTTGATTAATCAGAGTGCGGAGCTGATTAAGTGGCTGACGACTAATTTCCTTAAACCTCACAGTAGCAAAACCAGCAGCACGATCACGAACAGGCTGAGGAGGATTGATCAAAATTGGTGACTCAGCAGGGTAATCAATCACCAATCTGGGCAGCCGTAGTGATCTGCGAGATATGGGTCCACTCCAGCAACCACTGAGCGATAAAGGGCGGGTTGAGCATCACCATCGGCAGCTTCAATACGAAAAATAGCATTTGATGCACGAGAGACAAATTTTGCAGTGCTGAAAGGCCCAGGATTGCGAGTTGCAGGGGCAGGCAGCGGTCGGCTAGCACTCGCAACTTGAGCATAGGAAGGCACGGCAGAGACAGCAGCAGGAGGGCTGCTGATAGTTTCAACCAACGGAACAACAGCAATAGTCAATGCAGCAAAGAAGGCAGCCTCGGTTTCTGGTTCCAACACTGGGAGAAATTGCATTGCACGCGTGAAAGCAGACATCACTAATGGATGAGATCCAGAAGTTTGAGAAGGGGCCAGCACATGCAGAGCATCCAAGAATCGGTCACGAGGAGTGGGCAAGGGAGAGGTAGCATGATCAGCTGCAGAGGCATTCGTCTCGACCCTGGCACGAGAGGCAGGGTGATTTTGACGCTCGACGTTTCCCTTTGGGATCAGCATCAGCAATGGTAAGTGACATTTCGACAATATCATTCATGTGAACATCAACGACACTTGCAGGGGATCTTCCTCTAATTCGAGCTGGTTCTGAAGCTTGGAGATGACCGATAGAATTGCAACACAGCAGCTGGTAAGAGAGGGCTGCAATCACTAGACCAGCGAGCAAACATACGTGCCTGAAGGTACTTCAGCCTGAACTCAAAAGTAGGAATTTGCGCAAACAGCAACAAACCAACACGCGAAGTGGTATGGGCTAGCGAAAACAGACGACACAGTGCATGATAACGAAAACAGACGACACAGTGCATGATAACAAAAACGCTCGAGTACCTGAAGCTGAGCAGTGGAAGGCCGAATAAGTGCTAAACCAAACTCAAGTGAAGGTCTAATAAAAGACAAAAGCAACAACCTGGCAACACGAGGAGCAGACCCACCAAAGTACGAGACATAAGGTGCAAAAAGATACAATGAGGCACGAGCTTTCTCTAAGCGATGATCAATAGTTGCAGCAAGATCAAACCCTTCAATAGTAAATAGTGACCAAGTTATCTAAATGAAACCTCTAAAGGGAGGGCAGAGCCATGAAGCTTCAATGGGGTGGGTAACCATTGAGAAGATAACACAGCACACTTTAAAGGTGAAAACACAAAATGAACAGCCGTTGTAGTGTAGTGGCTATCATATTTCGTTGTGGCCGAAATGACGGCGGTTCGATTCCGCCCAACGGCATCAGCAAAGTTGGGGATTGTGTTGCTTGTAATCTTTGTTTAAGATACATCCCTTTGATTTTTCGTTTCTTTAATTCATGTATGTTCTTATGCATCAAGCTACAATGTTGTAATTTCTGCCAAATGACTTTCGCTATTTTCACGGTGGTTGTGACAGTATTCGCCTGTATGCTAACTAAACTCAGTTTTGATGTAACTCTTCGTCTGGCACACTTCACAATTGTATTCAGATTCTGATAGTGTTTCAATAGTATTCGTTGGAGAATTTCATGAAGAAGCTTTCGGATGTGATGTATAATGTTTGACGACGCCGACCGACGCCGACCCAAGCACACACAGCAGCAGCTGTAGGTAATCCTACTTATGAGAAGGTTGTGTGTGATGCGCAATGCTTTCGCGCATCATTTTATAGTTGGGAGACATTCGACAACTGTTTCTGCAAAAGCCAAGTAGTTCCACCATCGTGCAATCAAATTCTGTCATTGATATCCTCGTTGCTGATGCGTATGAGGACTATGCAACTGCTGAGCTTGTTAGATTTCAAAGTGGTAAGCCTGTGTATGAAATCGCAAGCCGGCCTTATTGCAGAAAACTTGAAGATGAACATGCCTGATCTATTTCCGGACATGTTTTTGTTGCTTGTTCTGCTTCGTCGATAGGTTGCAATAGCTTCGAGCTAAGATGAACTTTGCCTGATCCGGACATGTTTTTGTTGCTTACTCCGCTTCGTCGATAGGTTGCAATAGCTTCGAGCTGCATCTTTGTCACTGATTCCCGTCAGTTCTTAGATTAGGCCCATTCGCTCCCGTTTCACTTCCCCATATTATCTCAAATTTGAACGCCATATCTTGGATAGGCAGATATATATCGGTGATGACCAAATTTACTTACCTCAACAGCAAAAATCAACGGCATGTCGCTTTTTTGTCATCTCATTGAACACACCTTCATAATCATTGTACGATGTACATCAAGAAACATATGTTTGGCCTATAGCTAGGCCAACGAGAGTTTCAAATTGAGCCAATGACAAATCGCAAGGTAAACAAGTGTGCTGAATGAGAAAGTCCGGTGGCAGTCAAACCATCAGTGCTCGACTTTGATGCCGCGACATTTGCGAAACTCGCTTGACCATGGTCGCCTCCACATCGGCGATAGCCCGAGCCACGCTGTCGCGTTCCAACTTGACATTACGCGCATGAGCCTTCTCGACGCAAGACTGAATCGGCTCGGCCAAATCGGCAGCGTCTTGGAACGCTGTATTTTCACCAAGCGCTCAGTGCGTCGTCCTCGCGTGTAGTGCGTCTCCAATCATGGTGACTCGTCCTCGCTCCACCAGAAGTCCCTCTTCGAAAGTATTAGTCGACATCGGAACAGTTGAAGAAAGATCACGGCCAAAGTTGGTGAATATGTCCGCTGGATCAATGGAACCATTCATCTCGATGATCTCGTCGTCAAACTTTCCTGCTTGGACCTGCTCGAGACACACCCTCTTGATGTTCTGCGCGAGAATATGAATACGCTCGGGCGAATTATTGGTGTCGGTATCGAGACCTTCTGCGCACAAGAACGTTTGCGCATCGCGATTGGGTGCAGGGAGCGTCACGACCGATATAACCCTCTCTTGTCCATCGGGAGTTCTCCTGAACGGAACGTTGGCGTTGCGCACCTTTGTGAACTTGGAGTACTTCGACAAGTCAAGACAATTCATCGAAAACGCAACGTCGTCGTGCGCTGCTTTCACACGTCCGAATTGGCACCGTCAGCCGTCATCACGAGGACAACGGTTTTGCTGCATCCGTCTTCGAATTCGATTGTGATGTTCTCTGTCCCAACCACATAGCTCGTCGTTTGTTTGCCGACTCCTGCACATGAATATCAAAGCCAGCATCAAGATCATTGTTCATTTCAGCTCACAAGTAAGCGTTCAGCGTTGTGCCCGTTGGCGACATTCATCAGAATAAAACAACGTTTGTCGATAGAACTCTATTTTCTAACCAGTCCCCCATCCCTCCATAGCCACCCGGCCCTTCCCGCGATCTAAAGAACTTTTCCGTGGCAAGTGCCGAACGACTTGCTGCTCTGTACCGCCTGTGGGACGCTCCCGTCTTTCCATCAAGCTCTAGCGTTCAGGTGTGCCCGAAAATTTCCAATTTTCGTCATATTTTTTAGCCTCCCGATTTCACTTGCTCACAACAATATTCTTGGTTGAAAAGAATGTCGGTCTTGCTTAAATCTGCACGCCTTCTTCGGCAGCCTCTGCTGGTGCGTTGATCTTGTTTATCCTCCATGTATATTTCTGACCCACATTTCAGTCTTCTCGCCGCTCTCTAGCCAGCGTCGCGATGTCGGTTCCTCCCCAGCCTTCACCTCTGTCCGTTACCCACTCCTATGCCAACTCTCTCCCCAACGTTCCCGAAACAAAAATCACGAAACTTCCCAACGGTTTTACGATTGCGTCAGAAGCCAACCCCAACTACCAGACTGCCACGGTTGGCATTTGGATCGACGCTGGGTCGAGGTTTGAAAACGCCAAAAACAACGGAACTGCACACTTTTTGGAACACATGGCATTCAAGGTGGGCTAGTAGAACTCGGATTGTGGCAGATAATCTTAATTTAGCTTAAATCCAGGGAACAAAGAGCCGCACCCAGCTTGATTTGGAGACACAGATTGAGAACATGGGCGGTCACTTGAACGCCTACACTTCGCGAGAGCAAACTGTCTACTATGCAAAGACTTTGTCGTCTGATGTTGGGACCGGCGTCGAAATTCTGGCAGACATTCTCAGGAATTCCACTTTCACCCAGGACGCGATCGAGCGTGAGCGTGATGTCATTTTGAGGGAATCTGAGGAGGTCGATAAATTGAAGGACGAGGTTGTATTTGACCACCTCCACGCTTCTGCCTACCAAGGCTCGTCTCTTGGTCGAACTATCCTGGGTCCTCGTGAAAACATCAAAAGCATCACTCGTGACGACCTCACTGCATACATTAAGGAGAACTACACTCCCGACCGCATGGTCCTTGCCGCTGCTGGTGGTGTCTCGCACGACGAGTTGGTGAAATACGCCGAAAATTTGTTTGGTGACATGATCGCTCCCACTTCCCCTCGCCCAAAGCTGGCTAAGCCTACTTTCATCGGTTCGGACGTTCGTGCCCGTTTCGACAACCACCCGACTGCACACATTGCCCTTGCAGTCGAGGGTGTGTCCTGGACCGACAAAAACTACTGGCCACTCTTGGTCGCCCAGGCGATCGTCGGTTCATGGGACCGTAGCCTCGGAGCTGCCTCGCACGTATCGTCGCGTCTCGCCCAGCGAGTGTACAAAGACAACCTCGCAAACAGCTTCATGGCGTTCAACACTTCGTACTCGGACTCTGGCCTCTTTGGTATCTACGCCGTCACCCAGAATTTCATGGCTCTCGACGACCTTGTCCACAACATCCAGCGCGAGTGGCACAGGCTCGCAATTAACATCACCGACGCCGAGGTGTTCCGTGCCAAGAACCAGCTCAAAACTTCTTTGCTCTTGAGCTTGGACGGCAGCCAGCCCATTGCTGAGGACATTGGTCGTCAGATTCTCACCCTTGGAAAGCGATTGACGCCATGGGAGATCGACGGACTGATTGAGTCCGTCACTGCCAAGGACGTAATGAGGGTTGCGGTTGAGCACATTTACGACCGCGAGGTGGTTGTAGTTGGTTACGGTCCGGTCGAATGTTTGCAAGATTACAACCGTCTCCGAAACGCCATGGCCCCGAAGTACTGGTAAAGGCATTTCAGCTGAAGAAGGTTGGGATCACCAGATTCTTCGCATTTCAATTTTGTTGGTGTTAGATTCGTTTTGAACTGTACTGGTGTGGTTCGTTTGTATTAATAAAAAGAAACTGCAAAAAAACTACAAGCTGACACAGTATACTCTGCATACAATTAGAACAGGAATGGAAAGAGAAAAATGGAAAAGAACAGAATTTACAAGTTGTGGGGGTTGAGGGAAATGGAAAGTGAATTGGTCAAAGAAATAATTCTAGCGCTTGCTGGGATCAAAGATAGCAGCAACTATTTCGAATAGGTTCTTCTCGGTCTTCTCTGGAAAACTTATGCTCCTGGTAGTCTCTGCTTCCTTCTTGCTATCATCCTTTCCCAACAAGATCGCTGCAATCATTTGCTCCACAAACACATCCGGATGCGCCGGGTCAAGCTTCAGCTTGATTTCACGGTTATCATTTGCATCATGGCTCCTGTCTGCATGGACAACTGTTGTCTTGACAGTAGCCTCGAAGCCCCCACTGTCCACGGTGGACAACAATCCCACACACTCAATTCCGGTAACGACCACTTGTGCCTCAGTTCCATCTAGCACCGTTTTCACGAGTCCTTTGACGTTCGTTCGTGCCTGCTCGAGCGCTTCAGTGGCGAGTTTAAACGCAGCGTCCCCTGCGAGCCCTTCGACATCCGCAACAACTTTCTCAAGTTCTCCCATTCGTTCCAGTTCGCCTCCTTGCTCGAAATGATCCAGCGCAGTCTGTGCCGTTCGCCACGCAACGTACTCTGCAGTGTTGTGCGCACCTTCAAGGACTGCTCCGGAAGCTATGACCGCCAAGGGACGCCCGGCGGTGTTGGCAACGTGTATTGCGGTCGCGGTACCACCGATCACGTTCTGCGCTAGCTGCTGCCCAGCACTTGACTGAGCAAAGTTCACTCCTGCTCCTACTGCTGTGCCGACCGCGTCGCCGCCAAGTGCAGCTCCAAAGAGTGCGACTTTCTTCCCTTTGTGCGCGAGTGAAGACAGACTGCCAAGTGGCAGGGAACTGTCTGCTTGGCTTGCTGCGATTGGCTTCTCGCTCTCTACGCGTTTTTGTGCTTCCGATACTGCACCATGGTACCTTTTTCCCGTTGTTTCCATTGCCGATGCAAAGCTGGATACGTCCCCTTCCCAAGTATCCTTTCTCCCAGCGACAGCCGATTCAGCGCCTGTTAGTGCTTCTCCGGCAGC